GTGGCAATTCCAACACGTGGAGACCACACGCTGGACCGTGTTTACACGAACGTAAAAGATGCATACAAAGCTGAACCCCGCCCCCACCTAGGACTGTCAGACCACATCTCAATCTTCCTGGCTCCTGCTTACATGCCCCACTGAGATGCTCCAGACCAGTACAAAAGAAAGTTAAATGTTGGATCCAGGACAGTGGCCCCATACTGAGAGATTGTTTTGACCGAACAGACTGGCAGGTTTTCAGAGAAGCTGCTGAAAATGGAGGATTGCTTGATCTAGACCAATACACATCCTCAGTTCTGGGTTACATTAGTACATGTACTGAAACCGTCTCCACTATCAGAAATGCTAAAAGCTACCCAAACAGAAAACCTTGGCTGAATGCAGAGGTGCGCACCCTGCTGGAAGCCAGGAACACTGCCTTCAGGTCTGGAAACTCAGAGGAGCTGAGTAGGACAAGAAAAGAGCTGGTTGCTAGTATTAAGAGGGCCAAGGCCACATATGCACAGAGGATCGAGGGTCAATTCATCTCACAAGACCCTTGGAGCATGTGGAGGGGCATTAAGTGCATAACAGATTATAAAGGAAGGCGCGAACAATGCCCCAAAGACCCATCTCTGCCTGATGCCCTCAACAAGTTCTATGCACGCTTTGAAGACCCAAACAGACCACCCAGCACCAGACTCACCTCACCACCGGATGAAGAGCATCTCAGCGTGACCTCAGCAGAAGTAAGGAGTACTTTCAGGAGGATTAATTTGCACAAAGCAACTGGCTCAGACAACAACCCCGGAAAAGTGCTGAAGGAATGTGCTGATCAGCTCTGTGAGGTGCTGGCAGACATCTTTAACACCTCACTTACCCTGGAGACAGTTCCCACCTGCCTGAAGACTGCCACCATCATCCCAGTCCCAAAAAGCTCTACAGTGACTGGTCTGAATGACTATCGGCCAGTGGCCCTCACCTCGATAGTTGCTAAATGCTTCGAAAAACTGGTCATGACTCACATCAAAACAACCATCAACATCAACAAGGACCCTCATCAGTATGCATACCGTGAGAACCGATCAACAGAGGATGCCATCTCCTCTATGGTCCACACTGCGCTCAACCATCTGGAGCAGAAAAACTCTTACGTCCGTATGCTCTTTGTGGACTTCACATCCCCCTTCAACACCATGATCCCTCAAACCCTGATGGACAAACTATCCACACTAGGACTAAGCCCATCCATTTGCAACTGGGTTCTAGACTTCTTAACAAACAGACCACAGTT